CGTGCTTCGCCACAGGTATGCCTTGTGGCCCTGTAAACTTGAGGGTGCCACAGCCGGAAGAACTTCCTTTTAGCAAATTAAATATTAAGTTACATGTGTGCTTCCCTTTGGCATTTTCAAAGCACTTTGACATATATTTACTTAATCCTATTCTACAGGTGAGGAAATGGAGTCCACAAGGAGTGGGGCTGAAGCAAAACACAAATATTTTGAAATCTCTACTGGAAAACTCTTCCCTAGGACATTTTGACCTTTTCTTTCATATCAGATCCCACTAGACATCCCTCCCATCTCATAGCTATTTCTTTTCACCTTATGTATTTTCTCTTTTTCTTTTGGGCCGAGTTACCTCATTTATTACTGATATTGAATCAGGAAGACTTGGCAGTGACGTGAGAGTTGATTACTTATACCATCTCCTTTTAGTTCTGGGATGACAGAAAAAAAAGTATTCTTTTAGGAACAATACCTTAGTATGGAAACATGTAATATATGCTGCAAAGAGATATGCTCCTTTGTGGATAGGGGGTGAGCCAAGTCCGGAGTGGATTGCTCAGCTTCTGACAACCCTCAGACCCCTTTGTAGGGCTCATTTTTAGTCAACTACTACGTGTTTTGCAGTTATTATGGATAAGAGTATAAATATCAATAACTAAAAATTTTCAGGAGGAAAATATGCATGTGTACATATATATATATATATATATACACACTATACACATACATGTATTCTTCTTGAGACTTTTTATATGTACATATCAACATTCACTGATATACGAGAAAAATACAAATGGCTTCAATAGAATGATGAAACACTGGTCTTTTTTTTCTTTTTTTCACTATTTTGGACAAATGTTTGCTTTTCGCTACACTTCTATGGCTGATTCCCTGTGTCCTTCAGAGCTCTGTTGCTGTGCTTTTCTGCTCAGCAAAATAATCTCGATCTGATGGCTACCTGCAAGGCTCTGCGATTTCAGTTGTTTGAGGAACATGGTGTCATTCAGATAATGTTCAAAAATGCAAATAGTCACAGTAGGAATGTCCAAAAAAGTCATTTTTCTGCATTGTGTAGAAGAAAAAAATAGAAACAGAAGTACGACAATTGTAAATTGGTCTAAAAAACCAAAGCCCTGTGGGGGCAGTGGCGAAAAGTGACAGTGAGGGGGGTCAGGTGGGGGTAGTGTTCTTGCTGAATCCCTGCAAATCGGTGGTACAACCCTGACTGCCTCAAACTGATTTTCCTGTAAAATCGAACCAACAAAGGACTTTCTGTCAGATCTTCAGATTCTTCTTGGAACGTTTTTAGAATATGCTTCCTGGTGGTCACACTCAGAGGTCTACCTCTTGACACTCTTTAAGCCCAGCTATTTTTAAGCATCTGCACACATTTTTGCTTCCTCGAGCTTCAGGACTCCTGACTTGTGCATGTCAAAGTCAAGACTCCAGCTGTTTAAATCCTAGAAGGGGGCAGACATGGTTGAACTGCTGGGAAAGATTGAGCCTCGAGCAGCTGGTACACTTGCAGAGACAAAGGGGGAAGGAGAGAGGATCAGAAACACTGGACCCTGGGTATCTGTCTCTCTAAGACCAGCCCCCCGAGCAGGTGACCCTCCTGGAGCTGAAGTGACCCATTTTAGGGATTGTGAAGGCCACTCCTGAGGGGTCAGTGGCGCCTCTTCTTGTTGCTCGTCGATGCATAAAATAGATCAGGGTGTCGTAACCTCAGCACTGTTGACATTTAGATCGTTCTTTGCTGCGGGGGCTGTGCTGTGCACTACGTGATTTTTAGCAGCATCCCTGGCCTCCACCTACCAGACGTCAGTACTATCCCCTAGTTGTGACAACTAAAAATGCCTCCGGACATTGCCAAATGTCCACTGGGGATAGAGTGCCCAGCAAAATTGCCCATGGCAGAGAACCGCTGAAACAGAATGCTGTTTTGTGCACTTATTTGTTAAGACCTATTTTTCTGAATTACTGGCTCCCAAACATTTTTTCCTCTTGCCTTAAAAAGGCCTCCACTCTGTATTACATTCTCAGTGTTGGATGTCTTTATGTGCCAATAGTGACCACCTTACAAAGACAACTCATATTTTTAAAGGGTGTGTTTGCAGATCACAGGATTTTTGTTCCCATCATTTTTCTCCTGCCCTTCCTTCCCCTCCCCCAAATCTCCCAGAACCTCCACGGAAAGTGAAGGAATGGCCGTGGCCGTGGCCGTGCCTCTGGAAGGTTAAAGATGCGGTACGGTATCTGGGGGAGATGGCTAGATATAAGGGCAGATAGAGAAAAACAACACGAGGAATCACGACGCCAGACGACACCCTAACTCAGGGGGAGAGAGACCGAGAGGGAGGGGGCTGGAGATACGGACCCGTGAGCATCTGGGACGGAGGTGGCTGCACCCTCTTTGCACTCTCCTGCAGAAGGCTGCGCTGAAGACCTCAGGTGTGTACTCTTGACCTGGGGCTCATTGAGCAGATCCCTACCATTGTTTTAGGGCTGCACGTGGTTCCCGAGAGCAGCCTCCATGACAGGTGTTGCTGGAGGCACGAAAAGTTCTCAAGCGTCAGGAGGTGGCTTCCAGTGAGAAACAAGACAGGAGCCGCCCAAAGAACAAAGGGACATCGCTGAGCAGCCAAAACCCCAGAGCCCTGACTGAGCCCCCCACGGTCCCGCGCCGAAGCCCTCAGCCCTTTGCGCCATCGCACGGCTCGTGGGAAGCATGAAAGCTAGCCAGGCCCGTCATGCCATTTGAAACACGTGTTGAAGTGGCGAGACTTAACCTTCTGTTTGGGCAAAATCTCTACATGCTTATGACGATGTTACACACACAGAATGGTATTTTAAGTGAATCCATTCATTTCAAGCCGCCGATATCTTCACTCACATCACCCAGAAATACTGAGTTTAGGGTATGTATTTCATAGGATCATGTTCACAATTTATTGCTGGAGAAAACTTGACTCCAGATGACAAATTTCAAAAGAAAGGCTTTAATTCCCTTACCTGCTTTAGGTTTAGCAGAGGAAATTGTCCAAGTGCTTGGACTGCAGCAGGCCCCCATAAAAGAAAAGGTGTGGGTGTTGTCTGGAGATAAAGAAGATAACCAGAATAGATTCTGATAGTAACTCTATTTTTAATAATATGCTTTAAAAGAACACTTTATGAGATCGCTTATGTGACATGGAGATATGAAAAGTTATGTTAAAATTTTAGGGGAATTTTCCCCTTCTTGCAACAAAGTACAGTTTACCTTTTAACAACACAGGTTTGAACTGCATGGGTCCACTTATGCATGGATTTTCTTTAATAACTATATCAAAAAAATTTTTGGAGATTTGTGTCAACTTGAAAAAACTCACAGATGAACCGTGCAGTTTAGAAATATTTTAAAACTTAAGAAAAAGTTAGGCATATCATGAATGCTTAAAATAGATGTAGACACTAGTCTGGTTTAGCACCTGCTACCATAAAATCAACAATAGGCTGTTAGTAGTTAAGTTGTTGTGGAATGAAAAGTTGTCTGCAGATTTTCAACTTTGCGGGGCATTGGTGCCCTCAAATCCTGGGTTGTTCAAGGATCAACCATCCAGTACTTTCCCTAAGGACCTTTATTTTGAAAAATAAAGGCTTTGAAACATTTTATCCTGAGGTCAGTATGTAACTGCCTTCCAGTGTGAGCTTGACATGATACAGACTCGGAAAACAGGGCACCATGTGTTTGAAATGCTCTGATTCAAGTACGGACAAATTTCACAATTTCAGAAGCTGAAAGTCTCCCATACCACCGTCCAGAAGGCAAATGTAGGAAGAATTGAATAGCCTTTAAATTTCTTTTTACCAAAAAGCTACGTTATTTTTCTAGGCCAGTGTAAAATGAACATGGATGGCCCTTGTTCAAAAAGTGTAAGAATTTCAGGACAGTGGCAGCAGGTCATTAAACCAAGTGAGGGGCTCTTCTAACAGGGCTCCTTTGAGACGGTCCCTGTTCCTCCTGCTTGCCCGGCCCCGCCTTCTGGTCTGGCTGGATGCTGTGTGACTCAGTGAATATTTTTAGTTGTTCAGACCAGGCGAGGGAGATGACTTCCATGGCTTGTCTTGTACTAACAGGAAAGCATGTGACTGTTGAGTAATACCATAGACCTACAAAACACTTTTAACCCAAACTGTATTTTCTTAAGTTTAGATCATCACTGATAATAAGAAATACCATTGTTTTATGTACCATTAGGGGAAAAAAATAAGGATGCTACCATTTAATACAATGCCTGACCCATTGTAAAATGAACTGTAGATGCAGACACATAAAGTGCTAACGATTTCAGGACCGGTGGAAGGGTGGATCCCCATTGAGAGCCCTTCAGCGCTCTGCGTTCCCTGCCCTTACCTCCCTCCCGCCTGACGTTGAGGCTCTTTGTTAATAGAAATGCAGGGAAGGCTGGGGAGATGGGCTGAGACCACCGCCTCATCAGGGGGGCGGGTCGTGGGGAAGCCAGCCAGCCAGACCTGGTGCCTCAGCCTGGGCTCGGCAGAGGGGGACGGGCTCTTCCCCTCTGAGAACCTGAGAGTCTCCCGCACCGCGGGCCAGAACGCACGTGTAGGGAGGATTGAATAGCCTTTTATTTCTTGTAACTGAATAAATCCCCCATCAGGACAGGCTGCATCATTCCGGCACCTGCACCTTGCACTAGATGTCTGAGCTTTTGTCTCCAGCTGTGGTGCCAGCGGCCCAGATGGGCTCGAGGGTCTTAGGTCATCTTCACCATTGCCACGGGTGAGAGGAGGTCAGTTGTAAAGAAAGAAAATGATGGAAAACTAGATGAGAAGAGGGCGACTGAGTACACAGATGTGTTTTCTATATATGTATGTATGTATTTTAAATGACATTTGGGAAGCAGTACTTTTTTGTGTGAAGTTTAATTAAGATATGCCTCATTTTTAATTAGTTTCAAGCTGTTGATGACTACATATACATAAATCTCATTTCAAGCTGTTGATTTATGTACACATATACCCGTGCATTTTTTATTTTTTGGGTGAGTGGTGCAGTTATCTGTGCCATGAATACCATAAAAGCCTATCGTAGACCTGCACGCACAATCACCTATTAAGATGAAAGACAATTGTATGCATGGGACCCCTGGGTGGAGAGTGCGGCTGTCCCCGGGGCGGTGGTCCAGACGCCCTGGAACTCCAGGGGGCGGCAGCACATGGAACTGTGGGCTGCGTCTGCTGCCGAGGGCTAAGCTCGGGTGTCCACGCAAGGTGCCAGGGCTGAACCAGCAGCTGGCGCTGCAGTCGGGCCTGTGGAAGCCGGGTGGGGGTTGTCTCAGGGAAAGGGTTTGAAGAAAAGTATCATCACTTTAGACTTCCCCCAGCCAAAGACAAATTCAGGTGACAGTCTTCCAAAGACATTCTTCTTTGGCCGAATCCCTCAACGGGTGAAACCCTGCGAGAGCCCCGGGCAGCGGTGGACCGGCCTCATCGGCTTTAGTGGGGAGACGTAAGCAAGGAGGGGCTTAGACGTGAACTTATTTCCCAGCTTCCTGCCCCTCGTCCTCCTCATTTCACTTTTCGTTTGCTTCTTGGCCGGGGAGGGGCGGCATGGGGAGAAGGATTCCCTATCCGCTCTCCCTTCGTCTCATCCGGCAGCTCGTGTGCATGAGCACACCAGAGTGGGTGCACCGACTTCTGGGGGAATCCAGCAGGTGCCTGGCGCTGCTGATGGGGGGGCGGTTGTCACCGCTGGTAGCTTTTCTATCCTGACCTGAGACAGGTGGTAAGCGTTTGGCGGGACAGCTGAATGCAGAAGGGATCGTGTCCTGTCCTGGCTCTTTGAGGTCTGGGCTGGGAGGGAGGGAGGCAGGGGTGGTGCGAGGGGGGCCACCTGAGACCCATGAGAGAACAGCCGGGTCTGACCCCGAGCGGGGTTGCAGCATCCCAGCGCACATGAGGGGCTGGCTGGCGGCCTGGGCACCTTCCCGGGCACAGCTGGGAGGCACTGGTCTGCACTGGCAAGGCTCCCAGTCATGACTGTGCCAGGAACACAGTCAGGCTCGGAGCGGCACTGAGGCTCAGCTCGTGGAGAGCAGGCCAAGGGCAGAGAGCTGCCCCCCCGTGTGCCAGCAGCTGGGGTCCAGACGGGCAGTGGGTCTCCGCTCCCCTCCGGCTGCATGCTCCACACTCAGTCTCTCTCTGCTTTTGGCCTCCCCGTCTGTGAAATGATTCATACTGTGTAAAAGAGGTTTGGAGCCATCGGAGGACATTCCGGGCCAGAGTTAAGATGTTAGGTGGAGAATTAAAGTGCCTGAAGCTTGAAAGGAAAGAACGCAGAACCCCAAACCTACCGTGTCCCACCTCAAAACAGAGGAAGAATATCTAAGAGAGAAAGAAAACTGAAGCTGTAGGAGACGAGCACCAAGTGTGAGCACCATACGCCTCCGGGGTGTGGTGCAGTCAGAGAGCGTGTCTGGGGCCATCTCTGCAGGCCAGGGCCAGGTGGGCACGGAGCGCCTGGGCGGATGCAGTGGGTTTATAGACCACAGAATTTTAGAACAAGATTAGCCAACAGTTCTGGTTCTGGATGGAGAGGTATTTGGTAAGGGAAGCAAAAAAGAAATTTATGTTAGTCTGTCCACAAAAGGTGACATTGCCAGAAGGGGGAGGAGAAGCAAAAAAGATAAAGGAAATAGAATATATGGAACATATGCAAATTCAGTTCTAAACAACACCAAAAAAGCCCTCTAGTTAATTTAGAGTAAAAAAACGAAAACTGATCTAAGAAATACCTCCTCTCTTCCCTCCCCCCGGCAAACAGATTGTTTGAATTACACAGACAGTTAAGCCAAAATGGTCTTCTGGTTGCTGCTTGCAGACACAGTCTTAATGAGCAGCTTGTAACTCGGTCTTAGAATGTATAGGGTGAGATTCTGAGGGGGGACCCGGAACACAGCGAGTCGTGCGTCAGCACCATCTGGACCGTCCGCACTGGGGAGCAGAGCGAAGCAGGTGGTTCCTCTGTGTCCCGCTCGCTGCATAGACGCCTGCGGGCCACATAGGGAAGGGGAGGCGGCCAGGGTGAGGGCAGGGGCCCCCTGCTCTGGTCCTCTCTGTGGAGGATGGGTTGGGGGAGTGTCTGTACCTCAACAAAGCAAAGGACCAAACCAGGGGAGCAAACCACGATGAAAGGTCGGTTCAGCAGCTGACCCAGGTCAAACCTTATTTTCAAGGCGGTACGAATGAAAAACAAGCTTTCAGAATCGAGGCTGGCACCTGACACGTTTATTCTTTTCATTTCCGCCTCTGATGGGCCAGGGGAAGGCAAAGGGAATCTAAGCCACCCGCTTCCTGGCCCGACAGCAGGAACCGCCGTCCCCGCCACATGCACCTCCCGGGGAATCCGAGCTGTGGCGCTTCTTGGCTGCACTTGAATGAATTGTGCCTTCCGGGAAGGTGTCAGGCTTGTCTGAACAACCTATGCGTGGGTTCTTGAGTATCTTTCTCGGAAACTCAAGGGGAAAGACACAGCAGACAACAAAACCGTCGGCCCCCCCCCACTTCGGCGCCCGTGCCTTTTCTGCACCAAGAAGACTGTGTTCCTGGGGAGCGGCAGGTGCACACAGCCTGCAGGGCTGGGCAGATGCCCCACATGTTTGTGCTCTTGACACATTTTCCTTCTTCAAGCCCTTTTCCACAAAGTTTCCTTGCAAGTAAGGCTTTGGGTTAGAACAGTGAGACCCTGAAAATGTCCTGGGCTCAGTTTCCGTCTTAACTCAGGTGAAACTGCAGAGGTGGAGGAAGCCGGGCGGAGGAGGGGGCCCTGTCTGAACACCTGGCGCCTGGCGCCGCCGAATCCACTCAGGGCGCGGTGCCCTGCATCAGGGCCGCCTGCCCTGCGCCCTGGGAAGGGTGCTCTCGGACGCATCTTAGCGCCTTTCACCAAAGGCTCATGTCTTCCATGACATAGGGACCTTTTAAAATCTGCAAATAAATAGAGTAGGCGATGAAAGGGCTAACTGTAAGCTCAGAGCAGAAAATGGAAAGACGGGGAGATTTCCAAAGTTCTCACATTAAAGGAGATGGGGACACACACCATTTACTTTCAATTTGAGAAAGAACGAACCTACCCCATTTCCTAGGAAAATGGCACTTACCTCGGAATCTGCTCTCTCTTTACCCCCAATCAGCCCACCTGCTCTTCTCTTTTTCTATGAAATTTGTGTGAGCACAGCTTTGCCTGGAAGCGAGCCCTGAGACTGGGTTTTATGCTGCTTATTTGAAATGATTTAAAACAAATATTTCTGTGGACTTTGGATCCTTGAATTGGGAAAAACTGTTTGTAAACAGACACCAACAGGGTTGATGACATAGTTGGTTCGAAAAACATAAGACTGTCCTTCAATCTGGGCCCCAGAATAGTGTTCGTAAATGATGAATTTGTGTGTAAGGGAACAATTTCCTGTAAATCAATGTACCTTACTTTAGATTTCAGTTTAATACCAAAAAATCCTGCCCTTGGAAAACAAACAGCACAGCACACCGATTGCTTGTGGTCTTCATAGGAAAAAGCCCCACGTTTTGGGGGGGCGATTCACCTAGACATTGAATGCCTCCTCTCAGGAAACCTGTGTTTCTCAATCATGTGCTGATTAAACTAACACAGCAGAACACACCTGGGGCACCTGTGCTAATAGTCGGAGGGCACAGGCTGGCTCTTGGGGTGTCTTCATTGTAGGGTGCACACTAACAATGAGTATCAACAGATGCCTTTAATGATGCCATTGCAGTGAAATGGCTTCTTGGTTTTCCAGGTTCAGACCTTCTCAGAGCTATTTCAGTCATTAAAGAGACGAAAAACAAACAAGGGCCGCTCGCCGGGCTGAGGACGAACCTGATGGGGTGAGCGCATGGGGGACCTGCATCCTGCTCCCGCCAGCCGTCAGGGAGGGGCCGGATCCCCTCACAGGTGTCCCCCTGGTGGACTTCCTGATCTCTCAGGGGGCATCTCTGTAAGTGTTGCATGACCCTGCTCTCTTTAAAAAGCGAATCTGGGCAAAAGCATGCTCTGGTCTAATGGGAGCTTTTTCTCTCGGATATCAAATTCCTCACCCCATAAAACATAGGCATTGGGGCACACTGCTGCTGACGCCTCTTGGGAATCTTGGCCCCTTTGGGAGGTGCCTGTGGACACACGAGGAGGCAGTTTTGACTTTGGAGCAGGTAATTAAATCGTTGGGGCCAAGGATCCCCTGGACGCTGTGCAGGGAGGCCCCAGGCTACTTAGTGAGGCTTTGCGTTTGTTTGGAGAGAACGGAACAAGGTCAGCAGTGAAATTCAGGGAGCTTCTCCTCAACTGCATGTCTGCATCTTCCAGAAACCCTGGTTCAGAGGCCATTTCCTAGGAGTTTTCGATGTTAAGAAACACCTTTCTCCCTGTGACGTCAATAGCACGACCTTCTGGACGAGGGGTTTGACACTGTTTCCTTTAATATCAATTCCTACGTGAGTCAGAAGGTCTTGCTCCATGGCTGTTCATGTGACATTTCACAAGTAATTTTATTTGGTGCTTATTTTTGCCTCCAACAGACTGATGACAATATTTTCAATCCCAAATAACCAGGAAAGGGTCTCATCAAAATAAATATGGGCATTTATTAAAATGATTTTTTTTCTCCATGTGTTAAAATAAATAAACACAAGGTACTTTATAGGATTATTATTTTTATTTCCAGTAACATGTGAACCCCAAGACAGTCATGAGTGTATATTTTTGTCTCTATAGTGCTCTGTGGCTATAAGACATTTTTCACATACATTAATTCATCTGACATTTACAAAAAGATCAATATTTACAAAACGCCATCATTTGATAGTTACAAAAAGAAGACAAACAAGGTAGATGATATTTTCCCATTTCACAAATAAAGAAGTGAGGCACGGAAAGGTTATGTGATTTATTTTAGGTCACACAGTCCAGAGAAGAAGCCTTAAACCCTGGATTTATGATTTACGATGACTGGCAATTTGTCCCTTACTCCTGTTGGGTCCAGCATTTTACCAGATCACTAAATTTGCCTACTTCCTGAGCCATGTTGCTTAAAATCCTAATATTCTGACTTCTCAAGTACTACAATTTTAGTGTAAAAGTACAACTGTGACCAGTGTGTTGGGCCATGAGTGCAGGTGTGAAAGATTTGACAGCATGGTGAAAGTCAACTTTGATTCCTTATAAACAACTGACTTAATAGGTAGTTTATAGTGGAAAGAAGTAGTGATACCCAACTATTCGTTCTCTGCAGGCTGTATTGAGTTTACCCTACAGTGGCTCCTCGGAGCCTTCTTGCACTGTTTCCACTCCCCTGGCTTAGCTTCTGGTCTCAGGGTGGACCCCCTAATCAAACAGGGTGGTCAACATGCTTTCACCAAGGATCACGGGCAGGGAGGATTCTGTCCTCTCCAGTAGTGGGTGCATTTCTTGGACCATGGTCCTCATCACATAGATGCCAGAGCAGAAAAAGACTCAGAGAGAGAAAGTGTGTGTGTGTGTGTGTGTGTGTGTGTGTGTGTCTGTCTGTCTGTTTGTAAAGAGCAAAGTAAAGCCGTGGGAGAAAAGATGAGAATCCGGAGTGCTGACAGATGCCCCATACGAGTCCCCTGCCTCGCTGGGGCTGCCGGCATCCCTGCCCTGGGCTCTGGGATTCAGCCCTGAAGCCTTACGAATATGTGGGCCTGGACTCAACGGGCTTAAGATCACCTTTCAGTGCGACCGAAACAATCGCTCAGGGTATGTGCCTTCTCCATCAGAGCATTTCACCTTCAGCTCTTTAATCCAGGCCACGTGTCATGAACACAGTGAGCACCGATGTGATTGTGTGAAGGACAGAGTGGAAATTGAAAGGAAGAAATGCAGTCTGGTGGTTAGACCGGCAGGAGGAATGTGAGGAGTTTTTCTTCTGTTTTACGACTGGGGACACACTCAGGCCCGGGCCCTCTGCTGTCGCCCCTGGAGCCCAGAGACTGGGTCTGTCTCCTCCTTCGTGAGCACAGCATTGGCCATCCCAGGACCCCTCGGTGGTAGAAGGTGTCCCTGAAAGTGGAGAAGCCGTAGCCCATGCAGACGAAGGGCTGATCTCACAGTCTGCCTGTCCCTTGGCTGCAAAACAGAGGCCAGCGTTCAGTCATGCTGAGGGGCCCAGTTCAGTTATGGGAATCAAAGCCAACCTACTTTTGATCTTGGACATAGATAGTAGCTCAACACAGAGGAAATCTGGTGTTGGGGGACTGACATTTTTTTCTGTGTATTTGAATAGAGACAAGGTCTTTTTTTTTTTTAATTCTGCCCTTCTGCTTCATAGAACAGTCACTTGTTTTTCAAAACCATGGTGTGGCAGCACTTTTTAGTCCCAAATTCTTTATGTTTCCTCTTAGGATTTTCTGATTGGCTCAAAAAATCTTTGTATATTCCTACTTTTACAGAAGGTGTGACTGTCTCTGAAGAAAATGCTCCCCAAAATAAAATGCTTAGGTGTAAATCAAACAAAACAGGTACGGGATCTGTATGCTGGCAGTGGTAAAATGCTGATGAAAGAAATTAGAGAATATTGAAATAAATGGAGAGATTGTGCTTATTGATAGGAAAATGTAATGTAGTAAAGATACCAACCCTTCCTAAACTGATTTATAGATTCCTATCAATTTGTCAATTCCTATCAAAATACCAGCCAAGTTTTTTGTAGATGAAGACACCCTTACTCTGAAAATAATGTACAATGATGCAGACCCTAGAATTGCTGAGACAATCTTGACAAAGGAGTGTAAGGAGAAAGGACCCAACCTGCCATCAGGGCCTTGCTGTAGGGCTGCGGTAATCGGGACAGTGTGGTGGTGGCAGAGGGACAGACGTACACGTCGGTGGGACACGGGACAGAGATGAGTACCAGGGGCAGAGCCCAGACCCTTGTGCTCCTCTGATTCTTCTGAGAAAAGTGCAAAGCAATTCCATGGAGGGAGACAGCCTTTTCAACAAGCTGCTGGAGCAAGCGGACATCTATAGGTTCAAAACCCCACAAAACCCCACAATGCTTCAACCAAAACTTCATGTGCTAAAACTAATTCAAAATGGACCAGTGATTTGAAAGTATCAAATCATTAAGCTTTTAGAAAAGAACTTGGGAGACAATCTTCAGGATCTAAAGCTAAGCAAAAAGTGCTGAGATTTCATGCTGTTGAAGCATGCATGATCCATGAAAGGAAAAACTGATAAAATGGACCTCGTCAAAATTTTAAAGTTTTGTACTGCAAATCAGACACCCTGTTAATAGGATCAAAAGACGAAATACTATGAAACAGTATCTGCAAACCACATACAAAGGACTGGTATCTCGACTATATGAGGTACTTTTAAAACTCAGTGATAAAAAAACAAACAATCCAATTAGAAAATAGGCAAAGACATGAGCAGACATTTCACCAAAGGGGATTTACTGGCCATGCTTATGAAAAGGTGCTCAAGATGAATAACTATTAGGAAAATGAAAGTTAAAGCCCAAAGAAGATGTCACTGCACACCTACCAGAGTGGCTGAAATAAAAAAAGAAATAATGAAAACAGCCAAAAATGGAGATGAAGCTGATCCCTCATACAGTAGCATGGAGACTATAAAGTGATGCAGACACTCTGGGTAATAGTTTGGTAGTTTATTATAAAATGAAATATTCAATTACCATATGACCCAGCAATTGCAGTGTTTAGCATTTATTTCAGAGCAATGGGAATTTATTCTCATACCAAAGCCTCTACATGAATGTTTATAGCAGCTCTATTTGAATAGCCCCAAAGTGGAAATGACCCAAATATTCTTCAGTGGGTGGGTGGTTAAACCAATCATGGTATGTGATATGCCTTGGAATACTGTTCAGCAGTAAAAAGGAACAGACGACCGACTCCCAAGACATCTTGGATAAACCCTAAGGGATTTGTGCTGAGGGCAAAGGTCAGTGTCTGAAAGGTTATATACTGTATTAGTTTTCTGTTTCTGCTTTGACAAATCTACCACAAATTCAGTGGTTTAAACAACACAAATTTATTTATCTTACAGTTCTGGAAGTGAAGAATCAAAAATCCATCTCTAAAGCCTCAAAAAGGTGAGACGTGGGCAGTGCTGGTTCCTCCTGGGGACTCTGTAGGGAGACCCATTTCCTTGGCTTCTGCGGCTCTGAGCGGACGGCTGCACCGCTTGGCATGGCCCCTCCCTGGTGCCCCTCACCCCCCCGCCTCCAGCCCTGCACGTCTTACTGCTCCTTCTCTGATCTCTTACGTCTTCCTTCCCCAGATTTTTGTGATTCCATTGGGCCCATGCAGATAATCCCGGATAATCTCCTCCTCTTAAGATCCTTAACTAAGCGCTCTGCACAGCATCTTTTACCGTGTTGGGGGACGTAAGCACAGGCTCAAGGGACTAGGATGTGAACGTTCGGGGGAGACCATTATTCAGCCTATCATGTATACTGCTTGGTTGGATTTATAAAACATATTTAAATGAAAAAAAGTATAGAACTGGAGACAGATTAATGGTCACCAGGATGATGGGGAGAGAGTAGGTGTGGCTGTAGAAGGCAGCACAAGGTGACGCCTGTGGTGGCGTTGGGGTTGCTCTGCATCGTGACCATGGTGGTACATACACAAACCCACATGTACGTGAGACTGCACAGAGCTAAATACACACACACACAAAGGAGTGCAAGTAAAATTGGGCAAGTGTGAACAAGGTAGGTGGGTTCTATCCGTGTTCACATCCCAGTTGTGATATTCTATGGCTTTGCAAGATGTCATTATTGAGGGAAACTAAGTGAAAAGTATAGAGAATTTCTCTGCATTTCTTCAAACGGCAAGTCAGTCTATGATTATCTCAAATTAGAAAGTTAAAAAAAACAACAACCCAGAAAGTGATAGTTATTATTGTGGAAATGTAATAATAAGATAGGTTGGATCCCAAGCCCAGCCAGTAGACAGCATTCCTGGAGAGAATTCTAAGAATACAGATTCCTTGATCCCATCTCAGACCTACTGGGTTGGAATTTTGTGGGATAAAAGTCAGGAATCTCCATTTTTGAAAACTTCCCAAGTGATTTATTATCAACTATGTTTAGAAACCACTGTATTATATCATGCGCCGCTTTTCTTAGAGCAGTATTAGGCACAGTATTTTTTGTTCACATTAAATTTCGAGAGACACGTACGTCCATCTTACTAAGATGGAAGCCGAAGAACAGACAGCTCCCCACACGTGCTCCTCGGGGGGGTTCTAGTGAGATAAGGGAACGCTGAGCAAGAACGGGACATGTTTGGGATGCTGAGTTTAAAAATCATCAAGCTGGCATTTCATGTCTGAATCAACCTACTTGAAGGATGGGGGTCTTGAGGCTCTCTAACAGGGGAGGATGCTGTTGTTTGGGGGAGACCCCCCGCAGGAGAGACGTGTGGCCATGAAAAGGGGACATGTTGCCTGGAGACACTCAGGGCGCTGCTTGGAAGTGCACTTTGCTTTAAAAGCAAACCACCTTTCTGTCACTGTGCATGACTGTTTGAAGGCCCTAATTGCAACTTTGAGAATCAAGGAATGATGAGGACCTTCATTTTAAGTTGCCAAATTGATGGGAAATGCACAATGACCAGGTGTAGAGACTGGAGGAGAGACTAGATAAAATAACAATTCAGAGGGCAAAGGTAACTTGAAAGTTTCCAAGTGGAATCTTTCTTGAGAGTGCTTGGGCAGGAGCCAATAGAAATGTCTCTTAAAAGATACCGTGTGTCTGCTGTGCCTCTCTGACCTTAAATGGGTTTTGCATGAATAAAAGTGAGAACCCTACAATCTCTGAGCTAACAGAGCTCAGTTTAGTGAATGAGAAATTTTGTGCTTCTGGAAATGTGGTCTTAAAAGCAGAGCCTGTGGCCCACCCACAAAGTTAATAAAAACCCTGATTGGGCTAAGTTAAAACACAGAGGCCATTAAAATGAGATGTTCTGGAAGGAAACGGTGTATCAAGTTCCCAGCAGCAAGCTCCATTACTGACCAGTACCCAGCCTCGGGCCAATGCTTCCTTTCTGGCTGTGGATCCCGTCCCCCGTTCCTCTCAGCACGAGAGGGACCCAAGATCAAGGCAGCCAGTATGTGGGACTCCACCAGAAACACCCATGTGGTGGGATTTTCTATTCGGTGACCCACCTTGGCGGCATTTGCCCGGTGTTTCCGCGGGCGGACGGAGGAGGTCTCCCGGAGGGGGCCCGGCCCTCGCCTGAATGCCTCCACCCAAAGAGGCAGCCGCATGTACGTGACGGGCATGCCCTCCTCTGCCCACCAGATGCCCACCATTCAGCGAAGGGGCGCCCCACTCTGCTCCCATTTCTCTGGGGCTGTGGCCTCCGTAAGGAGAGCTGAGATCACTGGCCGTACATGGAGAGGAACTAAGACTTCTGCCAGCAGGATTTGTTAGGAGATTAAGCGAACTAGGTGATACCCACTGTGGGAGCTCAGTAGGTTCCGGGAACTTAATCTGCTGTAATGTGTCAGCCTCGGGGTGTGTAATATTTGTTGATGTTCATCTTATTAACAGAGTTTTCTTTTAATAGGCTGTAGCCCAAGTTCTTGAGAGGGGAGCTGTTGCTAGTTTATTGGGCTATTGAGGAAAATTGTGGAGGTGTTCAGGTGGGAGCCGGGAGAAGCGCCCGCCTCTTCTAGGGGATCGAAGTCTGTTGTGTATTGCTAAGGACTGGGGGTTGCGTGGATGGAAGTGAGCGGTTTACAGCCCACGAGCAGATCCTGTCCCAGTTAGGGGTTCATATATGACTGGGGAGGTGCCTTCGTCCTGCTTCCTGGCCCGCAGAGGTTGGGGAGGCGTCAGTCTCACCCCAGTGGTACTGGGCTTGCAGGCTGGGCTGTTAAGAGAGCAACTGGCTCTGGAGTCAAGGACTAGGCTCCCGTTCAGGCCCAAATAAGACAAGGCTTACTCAGCCAGGATCGCCCACTGCCCCCATGCGGGTCCAAACCCTCTTCTTTACCTTCCCAGCACTCACATAAACCGAGTCACTGGTCGGGCCCTGCAAGACCACAGGAGTCCGGCATCTGGAAGCTTAAAGCCTGACCGTTAGCAAGGGGCCGTGTTTTAGTATCTCTTCCCGTGAGGCTCTGGCCCAGGCCCTCCGGCATCTGGGCGTGTAGCTGGCTGTGCCCTGTGCGCTGGCACTCGGCACGCTGTGCCATGGCATTCCAGAGCGGAATGTGTGCCCTTCGCCATCCAGCTGAAAGGGGTAAAGAATCTAGGTCTTGCTGGACGCATCTACAGTTTCCCACAGGTGAGCACTGCATACAATACGGTACTTAAAAGTCCGAGGCCGTGTTCCTCAGGAGCTTAGTGGAACTGAGCCAGCGTGAGGCTCCCATACCTGCCCCGTCGTATCAAAGGGATAAAGTTCAGGATTGTCTTTCTGCAGTTTTAGTGTTTTCTCTCCCTGGGTCAAGGACTCAGGGCCCCAAAAGCTCAACCCAGGGCATCGCCGCAGTCTCGCCTTCCTGACCAAGTCCCGGGGGGTGAGACAGCATCTAATCAGATAAGTAAAAACCTGGCTGGGATCTGAAACACTCGTGAATACCAGGGTTGTGTCCATTCCACGTGGCCTTTTTACTCTAGGTTAAACCTACAGTTTAATGTGTTGAAATAGGGCCGCAGATCCTGTAACAAAGATCAGGTTTACCATAAACACCGTCAGTTATTCCTCCCTGGGGACATTTAGTAGTCGGCCCGCTGTTTCGCTTCTATGTCAGGAGCAGAGGTAGGGAATCAAGTGGGTTCTCACTGACGCCTCCAGCCCTTAGCCAGTTCTCGCCTCCAGCTCCTTATTCCTGCAAATGGCTGGGTTATGTGCCACCGCCACTGCCACCAGCTGGTCTTCCCATGTCATTTCCTGATTGTAGGTACTTTCACTCTGAAGAACTTTCCAAAGGTTTCTTTCAGATCCTCTTTGTAAATCTCTCGTGCAACAGCCCTCTGAGAGGTATAAGGAACCCAGCTTTTGAATGTATAGAATGTTACCCTTTGGGTGTGGAATGGGGTGCACTTGGGGAACCTGCTTTTCAAAACTGACCATGGCATTCCCTCTGGGACTTGTCACGCTAGCCTGTATGAGGTCCAAGCTGATGTCATCCACGTACGGCACACAGCTTCAGAGGAAAATACTCTTGCTTCTCTGGGCCTCTGTAAAAGTGACAGTGTAAGGGTTACTCAGGCTGAATTTCTGTCTGAGTAACTGTTTCTTTTCTGTCCAGATGAGGTTCCTGGATTGGCTTTCCTTTTAGGATTCTTACAGGGAACCCTAATCGAGGCAGTACTGGGGCCGAAGTTGTGCAAGAAAGAACACAGAGCAGGTGGTGAACCTGGGCAGGTGTGGCTCTGCTGGGCAAGGTGGTGTCATGGAACAGGACAATGCGTCTGACTTCTGTGCTCAGGGGTCACCCACACTCCACTCCTTGTGAAGGACCAGGTGAGGGTCAGAACGGGGCTCCCCCTACCCCCTGCCGTGTGCACCCCCAGCACCATGCACACACCCACACGGCAGCCTCAGGCCCTTCCAAAACAATTTTTTATTCTTTCACTTAATTGTGAGGGTTGAGGTGATATGATAGAAGGACAGGACTGGGGTTCACATCCATCCAGGCCACCTTTTAGTCTTGAGACAGGTCAAACTATGTAGCCTCCAAGTCTGTTTTATCGCTTGGTAAAGGAATGAAAATAATAATACCTATATCCCAGGCTGAGCAGGGAGTAACTAGGTATTCCCAGGACACACACACTGCTGAACGTGCCCTGTCTATAGAAGGTACTCAAGAAATAAAAAATATGTTTTTTCGGTGTTATTTATCTTTTAGTGACTCATGCTTAGCCCTGGCCCTGACCTCGGCAGCAGATGCGTGGATGTATGTCAAATAAATAAGTCGATGAAGAGAGCAACAGGGAGTCATTGGTACTTTTGAGGAGACGGTTTGTCTGAGGACCCTCCACTCCCTGTCCCCCAGGCAGCAGCCCTCCCCCAAATCCTCACACTTGGTGCGTGTGTCCCGGGGTTTCCACGGTCAGCGTGGATGTGGTGCCAGAAGGGGATGGACTCACACACTTCTGAAAAATGCAGTTTATTCAAGAATATAAACAATGTAATGGGTATATTTGGTTTCCGATAGTTCTTCTAAGTATGTCACCACACAGATGATCATAAGCCACATTTGGTACTTTTCAGAAGGGCTGATACAGATTCGGCCTTCAGATTTGTCTCTGTAGAGCTATGGACATGATCATGAGATGAAAATTATTGTTCTACAGTTATAGGCCCTCGTATGGTGATTCTCAGCCTTTTTTATCTTAAGTTCCTCCAGTAATTATAGCCGCTAGTTCTCAACATTAATTTATTAGATTTGTTAATTAATTAATTAATTAAGTAGAAATCAAAGAACCCACCACCCTTTCAGGTTGAATTTCATAAATATTATGTCCATGATTTATTGTGTTAAGTCTGTGAAAATTTGTAGTTGAAATTGCCAAGGTTTAAAACAAGCAAAATCTATTCCTTAGTAGGTAAATATTGTTATTGTATGGTTGAGTATAAATTTTATTACTTTAATAACATAAAAATGTTCCATAAAAATGTCAGACACAAAAGTGTTCTATAAAAATCATTGCCAACGAAAGGTTTATGTCAAGTTCTACCATGACAGGTGGGCAAAGCAGAATGGAGGGGTTGGATCCAGAGGTTGGTGACAGAGAATGACGCTCAGGAGGTGCAGAAGTCAGATGACTGTCCCGCAAGCTGGACGACAAGGACTTGGTAGGCACTTGGGAAGCAACGATTAGAAGACATTTTTGCCCAAGGTGACAATGAGTGTGTCCAAAGTCATGCATCCCTGGAAGCCAGAGGGACATGGTCTGCCACCAACATAGGGACGGCCACTTACTAAGGTGTAATGCTGATTCTGTGTCTCATCTGAGCTCGGGGTGGGGGTTACAGGGCTTCTGGCCCCTCCGTGGTGCTTGGTCCCTGGTACTCAGAAGCTCGAACATGCTGTCTGAGTTCTTTTTAGAAAGATGTTTTAGTTTTTGAGATATTCGCAATGATTCCAATTATAGGTCTGAACTAAGATTTATTTCCCTCGCTACCAAAAGAATTCCTTGCTTACACAGTATGTAAAAATTAAAATTTTAAGAAGAACAAGAAAAATAAAGTGGCTAGTCAGTTATGAGTCCAGAGGAAAGGAAGTCACTTAAAACACTGGTTAATGTTTCCTGGGGACCTCAGAGGGGTGGCTAGCCCACCGGCAGGGACACTGTCCACAGGGGTAGATGACTTGGTGGCAGGAACCATTCAGATCACTCAACTTGCTCCCCCGGCTGACTATCCTCTGTCAAGAGTCCTTCTGCTAATAATTTGGCTTTTCTTGTTGATGTGTCTACAGGGGAACCAGTAAACAAGCAGGCAGATGTGCTCTGTTTGTTAAGTGTTCCGTCATATACTGCCGTCTGGTTGCTGTGCATCAGTAACTGGGACCCGGGTAATGCGAGTCTTCCCCAGAGAACGCTTAACGTGGTGATCCATCAGGTTCCTAAACCTGCAGGGCTCAGGACAAAGCCCTGAATGGAGCTTGTTGCACACTCGGGGGCCTCGCCGGGGAGTCCTGGCTAAGTTGGCTTTTTCATTCCAACTAAAACAGGAGGTCTGATAAGACTGACTTTTACAAATCCCATAACGGTCCCCTTGGAAGGAACTGGAACTCTCGATGCAGTTACACTAGTCTCCCTGAGCCTTGAGCACGAGTTCTGGAGACTGGCCTGCTCTGGGTACTGCTCGACACAAAACCTTCACACAGATCAAGGAGCTGGAAGAACAAGGACCAAATCTAAAAAGGGTGGTTTTCTTCTTGCAGGGAGACTACTGACAGTGGAAACACTACCTGTGTCTTAACTTGGACATGAATTCTGAAGCTGGGCTAAAGGTATTTAGAGTAAGTGCTAAAAACACTGGGATAAATGGAAAATAATGAAAAAAAAGGCAGTGATAGGAGCAGAAACATGAAGATGTTACCCCTCAGCTCACAAAGTAAACCTTAATTAAGCCTGAGTGAAATTTTATCTCAGATCGATCTGTTGAACTGTAGATTTCAGCTATAAACTAAAGCCTCATAAACTAAATGATTTACAAGTTCAAACATGCTCCTTTAATTATCGATAATGTGTATATTTCTTAGAAGGATTGTGGGTCATTTACAGTATATGGTATTACTGTAATAAAAGATAAAACCCAGTTATGTAAGTGTGAATCGCTTAGCCACCTGAATGAAAGAAATGTTGTCTTCCCCCCAAATAGCGAACAAAATCTCCCTTTGAACAAGATTTTGTAAGATGTGTAAAATCAAGTATTAATTTGGGTATCTTTCTGCCTTCATTAGATTATACCAGAACATCGTAACAGCGAGGCAGGGAGGAAACTGGCTCTTCGTGGATGGGGTTCGTTACTCATATGTCAGCCTCAGAACTGGTGGGATCTGCACCGGCGTCCGCCAGGCTCTGATGTTGAGGAGCATTGCAGACATTCCTACGGCGGGTTGTTCTTTCGCTCCGCCACCAGGACACTGACTGCTGCTTTGAACGCCAAAATACTTGGTAGGCACGTAGATTCCCCTGCTTTGAGGTCTTACCTCCTTGGGAGTGCTGTGAGGGGGGATGTCCACAGGGGTGTCCAGGGGTTGCCCCTCATAGTCCCCCATCTGGCCTCCCAGCACCCCTGCTTCCTCTCGTCAATGCACAAGTCCCGATTCATTCTCCTAATTATTGCTCATGTCTTATGTGTGTCTCCCAAAGTGCTCAGCGTTTCAAACAGAGACGTGGGGGGGCAGGGATTATTCAGAGTTCTAGTCCTTAAAATACAAAATGACTGCAAACTCCTAGAACTTCAGAATCCAAAGGCCTTGCTTTGTTTTCTATAAAGAAAGGAAAAGGGGGAATTACTTTCTTCTTCTTTTAACTATGTCTGGCAGCAAAGCGATCAAGACCCCCAAGGGATTGCTTTTATGTACCAGCACGAGAATAAAATGCCAAGACACACACAGTAAAGGAAGGAGGGATGTAAAATGATATTAGAAAACTAAGTGTTTTTTCCCTTTTTACTGCAATACAGACTTCTAGCTGAGCATCTCAGCAACTGAGATGATAAAGAAAACAATGGGTTGCCAAGCTCTTGCCTACAGAGAGTGGGTGAATGCTTACCTGCACCGCGCTGACACGCCACAGTCACTAATGAAGCTTCCTCAGCGTAGGTCTGAATGCGACACAGGACTCTTCAGAAACTTGCCGAAGCACAACATGATCTGCAGATAGGATTGTGCTTTCAGACACCTGTAGCTCAGGTCTAATTGGTTTTTGGAAATGGTCTCCAGTTAGGCTGTGTACTTTGGAGATGCCTATAATTGTTTTTGAAAAATTACTCATTTTTTTAAAAAGTACTCTGGTCTGATTTGTTGATGCAGACCATCACTTTTGCTTCCTTACTGTCAAACCTGAGGGTTTAAGCCCAGTTGGCAGGTCTCACAAGAAGCTATTACTCGCCCTTAGTGTCAAGTGATAGCAACGCGGAGCTGTCCTGCTGGAGGGTTCTGAGGATGCCCTGGAGGGGAGGGCGGGTGTGCGAGCAGGGGAGGAACTGGATCTCAGAAGGGCCTGAACAATAGCCACGGTCTAGAACAGAGTCAGGAATGTGGGAAGAGGGGAACCCAGGGGCCCAGAGAGTGCCAGACACGGAAGCCGGGCAGGAACTGGGGACAGAAAGGGCCAAGACCCACGGAAGAGCCGAGCAGAGTCCGGGCCAGGCGACGGGACCCCTTAGCTGGTGTCCCCCCGGTAACCTGGGCTCTGCACGGCTGTGTTCTCTGGTCCTCACAGCAGCCTGGATGGTAGGTCTACGATGCCCGTTGTACCACTCCATCAGAGGGGTAGTGACGCAGGACTGTGCACATCACCAGCTTAGAAGATACAAGAAGTTCAATAATATTCAAAATGCATTTACTAAAAAAACTCAAAATGCATGCTAGTAAGACCTTTATTTGTGGGCACGGTAAACACTGTCTACTTAATACAAGACGCACCACCGTACTTAGTGGAAAGCTGAAAGCCGCAAGCTGGGGGGGCCCGTCCACCACTGTTGCTCTCCTGGTGTGAGCTGCATTGTGAACCACAGCTGGTATAGAAAAGGGCACATAGAGAAACATTTTTAGGAGTTTAAAATATATATTTTTATACATTTTTCTCTTTATAGAAAAAGAATTCTTTTTACAAATGATATTTACTCAGATAATTCAAGGATGTGACTAAAAACTACTCATAATTAATAAAAAGACAGAAATGAAATAATCGAAAGAAAAGAAACCTGTAGAAAACTTGTTATCTTCATGCACAGCTTGCTACTTTTTAATGCCTACGTCGCATGACATACCTGGGCTTGATACTGAAGCAGTTAAATTACATGGAAACGCAACCAGAAGGCTCAGGGCTTTTTAAACTGGTGAACAGAATCTGTCCATTCATTTACTTATTCATTGATTAACTCTCTTCGATTGGTTGTTTCCGTAAAGGAAGCCACAGCCCTGAGCGAGGCAGTGTGTGGGGTCCCTGCCCTCTGGAAGTTTCCAGGCTGTCGCAGAACCCGGGTGCCACAGAAGCTGGTAAGTGCTCTCCCGAGGGGAGGGCGGGGGTGGAGGGGTGCTGTCACTGGCCCCGTGGGCTCAGAGGAGGTTTCAGAGATCGTTTTTGTGCCATGCGGGGAAAACCAGTTCTGTTCATTTAGAGGTCACGTGCATTTTATCAAACAAAAGCCTTTTCGGCCCTGCATTTACCGGGTAGCTTTACAAAGAGAGGACATCATACAGCTTGGGTTTTATTCACCAGACTGGGCTTCAGGTGACGTGTGAGTCTTTTAAGAGGACACAGTTTTGTCGTCATTGAGAATCTGTGAAGTGCTTTAAACTCTGAAAGTTCTGCCTTAGGGGCCGAGGAAGCCCGGAGGAAGGCAGCAGGTGCTGCCTGAACCCGACCCAGCAGGTTGAAGCGCCACCTCCGGACTTAACTCTCAGGCCTTTTACAGTAGAACGTGGAGCGGGCTTTGCACAGCTCTTCGTGACCCAGAATTCAGTACTTCTGGCCATGACTGCCTTCCTTTAAACACTGAACAACAGTGATTTCCTTAAACATTCCTGTTAGGCATGGGGACCGGGCTCAGATGAACGGCATTTGGGTCTCAGTCCAGCCTCACACGGTAACCTGAATTCAGGTTGAATCTCTCTAAGCCTCCATTTTTCCCCCAAAACATTTTATTATGAAAAATTTCAAACAAAAGGCAAAGCTGAAAGACTTTCACAGCAAAAACCTGTAATCCCATCACCTAGATTTTACATTAACACTTAACAGCCCATTGTCACATCTATTTGTGTATCCACCCCTCCACGCACACATCAATCCATCTTATTTTTCATGGGTTTCAAAATAAATTTGCAAAGATTAGTATACATCCCCCTAAATACTTGAGCATATAAATAATTAACAAGAGTTGACTATTTGCTTTATTTTTTTTGACATAAAATACACATACATAAAAATGCATAAATCTTAAGTGACCTCCTGCTGGTCTAGACCGATGCATGTACCTCTGTGAGCCCGCCCCTGGCAAGGAAGTCCTATGGGTGAACCTCCTTTTTTTTTAGTTATAAAATGTGGTCAAGAGTACTTGCCTCAAAGAACTGTGAGGATTAACATAAGCTAGTGTGAAAAGTGCCACGCACAGGAGTGAGGTGGACGGCTGAGGCACTGTTTGTGGTTGTAAATGATACAATCATCTCCTCTTTGCTAAGTGTTGGTATCACACATGAAGCCAGCTGGGGAAGTGACCCTTTCAGGGGGACGTGTCACCTAAATGCATGTAAAAGCCCCCACTGCCCAGTGTTAATCGTCAAGCAGTTTGCACACGACTACGGTCACACAGTCATGACATGGCCACTGGTGTGACACCCGTTCCGGTGGCCTGGACGACCGTCTCTGGGCAGTGTCTAGAATGTGCCTGGCAAAATGGTGACGGCCACATGGCCTCCTGCTGATTCAGTTACTGCTGCTGTATTGCACTTCCCAAGCTATTTGGGTGACCCCAGAGGCCAGCTGTGGCTTTCCGTGCATCTTGCAGTTTCTCTCACGTTTCATGAATGGCTGACAAATCAGAATGCTATGGGGTCAGAGACTGGTTTCCTGTCCTCCTCTAACAAAGCCACACGCAGCACTAAAGGTTCACACGTGGACATTTGTCTACCAGATACTGGCATTTGGTGCCAGGTATTCCTCATTGTTAATGCTGTTAATAATCTGGTGATAATGTATTTGGTTAATGAGATGGTATCGTGGAGAAGATTGGATGGGACTCGTCCGGAAGCTTGTGACTAGGTTCACATCACACGGAAAGTCCTGTCCCACAGTGTGGACAGGGCATGGCGACTTCAGCAAGTTGCCAGCATCGGAGAATAATGATTCCACGAGGAAAAAAGGGTCTGTAACTACACGAACATGGCAACAGGGACTCGGGGAGTTGTCACCAACTCTAAAGGGTCTGAGATTTTTACCTTCTTGCAAAACTAGCAAGCTAGCCTGTTTCACGGCTAGTGGAGGAAGACACGAGACTCCTGGTCAGGGACAAAGGGCTTAATTAGGGTACAGCGAGCAGCATGGCCTCAGGGTTGCTTTGTCTCCCGTGGTCCCAGAGTCCCATGGGGCTGGTGCAGAAAGAAAGAAGTTCAGTCTTTGAAGGAATATTTGGTCTGCTAATTTGAAAACCTTGGAATTTCTTATTCTATGAGATAGTAGAATTTCTGAAGTTCCTTGTACTGTGAGATAATAGAATATCATATGGTTTAAGCCTTTTGAATTCAGTGTCCTGTAAGTAGAAGCGAAGGTGGACCAGATGCGGGCAGCTGACTGGTTGGCCCTTCGCAGCCGCCTGGGAGTGACCAGGGCCTGCAGCGGGAGGGGAGGGGCACCAGCATCTGGACTGTAGCCTGGAGGATAAAGCAGGGTTTGAGGGTGAGCTGGGTTTGGGGGTGAGTGAGGGTGGGGTCAAGCTGACCTCTAGGTTTGCGGGTTAAGCAATGGGGTGAATGGCTGTGCCCTGTGCTGAGACAGTGAAAGCCAGAGAGATGGTTTTCTGGGGATGGAAAATCAAGGGTCAGTATGAATATGAACGTCCAGTTGGAGATGCCCAGTGGGCATGAGAGGCGTGGAGCTGAGAGGGAGCCCTGCGAGGGAGTCGTTTACCTATGTAAGTGGTGTTTAAAGATACTGATAGTACTTAATGGCCTAGAGGGTTATTTAAATCCATTTCTTGTGTAGAACCTCAAACCAGGCACCCAGGAGTCCAACACTTAGTGTTTGGGTCCAGAAAGGGGAACTATTAGGCAGCTGGAGAAAAAGAGACAGAGACAGAGACAGTCAGAGACACGGAGGCAGAGACAGACTAGGTGGGCGGAGAGCCAGGGGTCATGGGAGCCAGGAGGGGGAGAGGAGGTGGCGGATCTTCTGACCTCCAGGATGTCCCAGTCCTGGTTGTCTGTTTCTCTCTGGCCGCTGCTCCC